CTGATAGGAAGTCAGAACAGATGCATTTTTACTAACCTTCCCCTTATTTTCTGTTTTTTTTCCCTTCAATAATTTTCTACAAATAAATGTACATATCTGTTTAGCCGTTTAGTCTAGCAGTTCACATTCTCTTTCTCTTTTATTTATTTAGATGTGGTCATTTTACAACCTTCATCTAGAAGCATATATTTCTCTTTCCAATATTGATATAAAAGTTGACACATTTATCTATTCAGTGTAAAGTCAAATATGCTTTATTTCTGTGGAACAATGATTTATTCTGATGCTGGCAAACATTTATCTTAGCAGGTTTCTAATGGTGTGTATGAACAAGTGCCTTTTCATTTTTAATGCTACTTTTCTCTCTCTTGTGTGATGATTTGTTTAGATGAGCCAGGGTTTTCTTTTGTAGCTTTCGTTTTGCAGAAATATATTTTATAAAACGGAAAAAAGATGGCCACCACTGCTATTTTCTATATCAATTTTTTCAGTCATTCATTATGGCACTTTTAACATTTCAATTGTTGTCATTCTTTATTTTAAAAATACAGCCACCTAAAGACAATGTCATACTGTATGCGGTGAACTCCAACCTAAAGCAGTGATCCATTATTATGTGTGTGTATATGTGTGCACTTTAAATATAACTGCGTAGCCCTAAATAGCTGTAAGATAATTAAACAGCAATTTTAGACAAATATTGTAGAAGTATGTAATACACGCTCAATTCTATATGCAGCTGGCCAGAAAGAGGTGCATGTACATTTATGATAGTTATTTAATCCATTTGATACACCATATTTCTTTGATATATAAATAAATGAGATTTCTAACATCTCAGCTCTAGGCAATGGCAAACCACATCTTGCCAAGAAACTTCAGGGACTGGTCTAGGCAATTACCAGGAATCAATGCTAACTCAGAAGCACACATATAAAAAGTCATTAGTCAGAGGTTAGTACCATCTAGCTTTAGTAAGATTCACATACCCATGTATGAGCTGTTTAGTCATATCATGTATGAACAGCAGAATCATAGTCAAATGTTTGTATGTGCTAAGCTTATTCAGGAAGTGACACATCGTGGTGACTTTTCCTGCCTCTGTCATTTTTCACCCTCTTTTTCTCACAAGGTAGTTGGAATGTACTGGAAAAGCAGTTCAACCAGCTGAATCACCTAATCAAGTATTGTAAGCCATGTAGGTTTAAAATATAAAAAATATAAGGAAATTTCTGCTCCATTCTCAGTTGCTGCAACAAGAAAAATCCTACCATTCACATTCTTTACAAATGAATAATAATAAAAGGAGAGACAAATAATTTGGTACTGAAAATTATTGACAGTCTCAGGTCTGTGGTGACAAATTTCTGATATAATTAGTTTCAGCCTTTCTGATTCTACCTGAGCTACTGTGAAGAAGTTTGTCTTCTTAGTGGCCTGAGGCACAAGACAGATAATACAAAACCTCCCTCCAATGGGTTAATACAGATACAAGGGAGGGAGGGAGGGTGGAAGGAAGGCAGGCAGGCAGGCAGGCAGGCAGGCAGGCAGGCTTCACATATCATACTAGAGGCAAATTGGGTCAGTCTCCAATCCTGCCAAGATATGAAAGTTTTTTCAGTGAGGAATATTTTGGAAAAGAACTGAGAGTAACAGTTTATTTAAACGTGGTGGTATTTGTAATGTGGTGGAATCATCATTACAAATGTTTGACAAGGTAGTATGTAATAAGAAAATGACCACAGAAATAAGTTTTTACTTTAAGTAACAGTGACAAATACAATTTGTTTCTCCACTTTTAATTTCAGCTGGGCAGGGCTTATGGAGGTAACTGAGACTTTTTTGAGTTCAGATATTTGAGAACTGGAAATGGTCTTTAGGATTGTTAGCACTTCTACCTCTGTTAAGGACACATGCCCCAATGACTGGTAAAGGAGGTGGCACATGGATCAGTCCAGGTGCGATTAATAACTAACTGTAGGTGGGAGTGATACTACCTGCCTCAAAGGAGAAAGTGGCATGTTCCCTTCTTAAAGAGGCCATTTTTGGATCAAACTGTGCTGGATAACTTTTGTCTAGCCTTTGAGAAGATGATTAACGAACAGCTTCAGAAACCCTTGGATGAACTGGATTATCTAGACCTATTCCAGTCAGGTCAGTCATTTGTGGATGGCAGCTGGAGGGTTCAAAATGGTGGTGGTGCACTTTGCTTTTTTAATCTCTTGGTGGCTTTCAAGATCATTGGCCACAGTATTCTTCTAGACTCGGTGCAGGGGATGGAGTTGGATGTGTTATGTTGAAGTAGTTCTCCTTCTTCTCTGGCCAGTTCTGGTTGATATTGATAAGGGACAGAGCTTGATCCCCACTCTCCTCTAATGTGGAGTACCTGATAGTTTGACCCTGTCTTCATTCCTCTTTAACATATATATGAGACTGTTGGAGAGGTTACCTGACAGTATACAGTATATACTGTATACTAATCTAGTTTCATTAGTATATAGTATACATTTCCATACCTTGCTGGCCAGGTGATACTGCTCTGGTATTAACCTAATGCCTGAAAGTTGTAAGAAACCAACTGTGATACAACCCTAGCAATGGATTGATGGAACAGCTACATTAGATGGATGGAAATAAGTAAGATGATAGATGGATGGATGGTGTATTGACCCGGCCTTCACAGAAACAGACTCCTCGCAAAAAAAAAAAAAAAAAAAAAAAAAAAAACCTTTTTATTTACACATTGGGAATTAACTGCATTCACCAACAGAAAGTCCAGGCAAGAAGTTAGTTGAAACAATAGTCCTTATCAGCTCATTATGATAAATACAAGGGTGTGAGCTTCCAGCTGGGAGGCTGCAAATTAAGTCAGTTCAAACAGAGAAATAGACTAACTCAGCTCTGGCAAGGCAGTCTTTGTCGCACGAAACACACAAGGAGCAACTTTCCAGAAATGTGAATGGTTATCTGCAATAACCAAACCACTCCCTTTCCTCCTACTTATTCGGCAGTCAGGGAGGGGCCAGTCAGCATCCACGTTTGTTTTGCTTCCCAAGCTGGCTCATTGTCCTCCGTTGTTCACTTCTCCTATCTGCTCTATGCACACGCGCATCTGGAACAGGCCCCAGTTCTTCCTTCTCTTCACTCATCTCTGACTCCAAAGCCAGCTGTCTCTCTGGCTGGGAAATGCTGGACGGCCCTGGCTCTATTCTGTGTCCAATGCTGAGCATCCATCAGACCCTTCCCCAGGCTTCAGAACTGGCCCAAGTTTTTTCCCAATCTCCTCATCATCCTAGTCTGCCACCAGTTCCGCTGGCAGACCACAACAGATGGGTGGACGGACAGACAGACAGATATAGACAGATATAGATAGATAGGAGAGAGACAGAGACAGAGAGAGACAGAGACAGAGAGAAACATAGAGAGAGACACACACAGAGATGATAGACAGATGATGTAGATACATAGAATTGTTCCAGTCTTGTACTTTTGTAACAGTTCACCTTGTTGAAACACTATGTACCTAAGTGAAAGAGAAAAAATTGTTAAGATAGACTACTCACAATTTCATTTCAGTCCTAACCTTCCAATTACTTGATAGCCAGAAACATAAATCTTTGTTTCTGTGATAACTATAACAAATTTAAATTGATAGTTAACAAGCAAAATGTCAGAGTGAATGGATTATAGCAACTATTGGAAGAAAAAAAAATATGACAAGCCTTCTCTCATAACTCCTATTTGTAATTAATGTTAACAGCTAATATAAATTTTAGAAAATCTTAATTTACTACTGGCCAAACTCTATGCTGTTTAAAATAACTTCTCTTCATGCTCCAATTAAAATTTTGACATACAGAATGATGACAATAACCTTACAAACAAATTACTTGACCTACATAATTGAAGGTCTTCTTCAAAATTCTGTCAATAATATATTCCATAATTCTTTCAAGAGCATGCCACTTAGTATAATTTCTTACAAATGTAATCTACAATCCACAGTACATTTACTCTAGATCAGGGCTATTTACACCAATGTTACTATTTTATACTGTGTGGGTTGTAAACAGAGTTGTTGGGTTCTACCTTGTCATTATTTGCCTATTTCTTAAAGGACAGCCTCTAGCTCACTTTCTACTTTCTCCACGTACAGCATAGTCATTAACACCACATAATGTGACAGTTTCTGATTTAAAAAACAAAACAAAGGAGAGATGCAATTAATTTGTCTGAAGTCAAAAGAATAAAAGGAAAATACACAGACAATTCTCAGTGAATATTCATGTAGGTGTATATATATTTGATAATATAAAAATCCTAGTTCCTTTAATTTTGTGATTGGTATAGCAAGGATGGAGGCAACATCAATTATTATTTTTTTAAATGTATTGTTCTCTGATATGATCCAATGCTGATTTATTTAAAACCAAAAAGAGAGGAGGGGTAAATGTAATCTTCTTGCACATTCCCATGCATACAGTTGTTTAAGTTTGGGGAAAACACTTTTGTCATTGTCATGAATTTCCAGAAAAGGCAGAAGGCCATCTAGCTTCCAGGGTCGCCATCTCATGACAGTTTCTCATTGAAAGATAATCAAACAGGATTGTTCTTCCACTGCATAAATCTAATTACTTCTGAAACGACCAGCATTCAATTTTGGCAATCATCTGAATGAAGATGGCTGGAACCCCAAGGTGGTCCTTCAACAAAGTAATGTTTCTTAAAAGTGTGATGAATGATGAGGTGGCAATGAATTGTTGCACTTTTCATATGTGGTTGATGGAGAGGTTCTAGGTTTGATTCCCTATTCCTCACAATCTCGCTAGAATTTTAAACTAATCCAGACAAGCCATTAATCAAATGTTGCCAATCTATTAAATATGATTGACTTTTGCAAAGTCATTGTCAAATGGCAATAAATGCAGTGTTAGTTTTCTTAACCTCTATTACAATTCTTTAAAAAGTTTTGAAAATAAAGTGATTGCAAACTACTCATATAAAGAAAACAGCTTTACAAATTCTTTTTATTAGCATGAAACAAAAATTATTTGCACACTTTTTTTAAAAAAAAATCAATTCTTGGTTTAACACAATAGTGATAACTGAAATAATTTTCTAGAATGCTCTAAAGTAAATTTATTTTCTTACCAAACTCTCTTAAATATATTACTACAGCACAACTAAATTGCTTGCTTATAAAGTGGTTCATATGAACTCTCGGATCGTTTGCTTATATTTATTTTAGTACTATAATATTTTGATTTATGATAAAGAAAATAGAAGACTCTATATTATTTTAGAATGAATTGTATAAATCAAACAACAAGTAGTGTACATTCAACTTACTAAATATGCTGAAATTAGAAATATTTTATAATGCCTTATAAACCCATAACTAAACCTTATGGGCATGTTTTTAATAATGATGGAAGCAAGACTTAGATTATTTATGAACATTATTTAGCTATGTATACCTTCTCAGTCTTAAACTTTAGCACATATCATTATCAAGGCAAAAAAGAAAGCTATTCAGAATATTTAGAGAAAATCCCAATATTTGCAGAATGGTGATGATAAAAACAGCTCATGAAAATGGAGCATGTACATGACATCAAACTGTAGGGATGGACTTTTTATTTTTGCAGCTGAATAGGGGCATCTCCATAGTTATATTCTTCTGATCGCACTGTATGAATAATTTATTTTCCCACACTTTAAAAAAATATAAGCTAATGTTGTTTTTTCTTAGCTTTGTTAGTTCAGTGGGAAATACTCTTCAAATTAAGATATACCATAGAGTATATTTTTTTTATCTCATAACTTTTATCATGTTTTATCAATGTATAAAATACAAAGAAAAATAAAAATAGGAAATTAAGGGAAGGAAAAAGAGAAGAAAAGAAAATATGAGGGTATTGACTTCCAACTTTTTAACACAGTACAAGATAACAACATTACAGCCTCAACTTTCTACTTTTAAACATTAATATATAACTAGCCATTTCTATAGCAACAAATCTATCTAAATGGCAAGGCCAAAGTCAAAATTTCATTTTTTATCCCAAGCACAAAATCCAGAAGTGATATCAAAATAAAAACATAATTAAATATATTCTCCACTTTGAATAAAACAATCAATTTAAGCATTTCTGCTTTATTTTCTTTGCTGTAGAAATATGTATTTCTATTTGCACTTAATAATCTTTATAAACTATCACCATTTATATTAACAAAATTCACTGTATTCATTCAGATTCTTTAACCTTAAAGGGGAAAATGCTTTTTTCCCCCATCCATTTTAAAACACTGAACTTTTTAAAAAATAATTTCTAAATCAAAACATTCTAATAATCTTTTTTAAACTTTGTATTAACATATATACTTTAAAGTTCACTTTTAGACCAATAAAATTCCAATTAACTCATTAAATTTAGAGCACTCCCTCCAGGTTGCCCTCATAGAATATTTTTTTCTTCTCGCATATATTCTTTTTAAAACTTTTCTTTAAAATAATACATCTTTTTCTTTAACTTTACTTTCAAACTGCTAGGTTGGCAGAAACTGGGACAAGTAACGGGAGCTCACCCCATTACGTGGCACTAGGGATTCAAACTGCTAACTGCCGTCCTTTCGATCGACAAGCTCAGCTTCTTATCCACTGAGCCACCGCGTCCCTTTCTCTTAACACGTATACGTTCAAATACACTTTCAATAATATTTTACAAACTTTAGGAATTACTTAAACATTTTATATAAAGGATTTTTTTTCAAACTTTAGATTAAGTCATTCTTTCAATTACAAATATAAGACCAATAAAAAGCCTGGAGGAACGTTGTCCATGAGGTCGCGACGGGTTGGATATGACTTCACAATTAACAACAACAAATTCCAATTGACTCAGTCACTCCTTCCACCTTGTCTTCATAGAATAAAATCTTTTTCTTTTCTAGAATGTTTGTCAAGTAGTTATAAGCATCTCTTTTTCTCAAGGATTTCTTAACTTTGTCCATGAGGAAAAAGTTCCAAACTTGTCCTGTTAAAAGTTGCAGATTTTCTTGGAGCTCTTTTTTAATTGTGTTGGGAGGTTTATATTTAAACCATCATAATAAAAATTGGTGTCAGGTTTATATTCCAAAATTGCAATTGAGTCCTCTGAATTGTCAACTACTTGTGAAATTGCCTTGGTGGTTGGTAAGTTGAATTTGAATTCCTGAAGTAGTTTGAGAAGTTTTTTTAAACATCCTTGGAGCATAGCTGATCTATGAACTGATGGATTTTATTTAAAGATTTTTCAAATACATCTCTAATAATTTACTCCTCCATCTTCTTAACTCACTCTTTATTCGAAGGGTAGCTTTACTAGAACTACAACTTTCTGCCCTTATATTTCTCCATCAATTTTTTTAAAGATAGTTCACACTTCCTTATTTTAACTTGCCTTCAGCATCTTTCTTCCTTGTTGTTTAACAAGGAAGAAACCCCCAAAATGGTGCAGATCTTCAAAAAGGAATAACAGATTGTGACTAAAGAAAGCCTCTTTTAGCTTAATAAAAATTATTAGTCCTTAAAAAGTGATTAAGAAATAAAAGGCATAACTTGCTGTCCATTTGAAAAATAAACTCCAAAATGGCTGCTTCTTCAACAATGAACTCATTGCACACACCCCAGCTGTTAGCATGCAGGCTACTTCAAAGCCCAGCTCCTGAAGCTACTTGCAGACCTTTGTTATATGGAAGGAACTTGTAGGATAATTCTAGGACTTTTCCTAACCCATGAGAGTTATATAAATTAAAGGAATGTCAGTTCCTTGTGTTAGTAAGTTGAAAAGGCTACAGTCCAGGGAAAAACCCTCCAGGGATCCTTACCTGGGCATGTCATCAGTTGGCCATCTTTTCACTGGGAGTGTAACCATAAACTATATTCAAATGAGTGGGCATTTTTATAACATGCTGAACCCATCAGTTCATTATAACAAGCACAAATCCCCTTTGCATCCAATAGCAAACGTGCCAAATCTTAGCACAATACTGTATTTTGTGGATTTAGTGTTTTAGGGAAGGAGGATGGAAAAAATTGACAGCAGATTAAAATCGTATCTGCTGCCATTTATTTATATGATAAGGCCTGAAAAAAAGACATCTACCCTTTTACATCTAACCAAAAAGTCCCTTTCTAAAAGTGATAGGTGAACCCAGACATTAGATCAACTCCAACACATCTGGTACAGTTCTTTCCTAGCTACTATTGATTCAGATTGGAGATTCCTCCTATTCTCTTCCCTCTAATTCTGGCAGTGGTCTTATAAGAAAAATATGGAAATACATAGAGGCCAGGTATTTACATGATTGAAATCAACAAGATGAAGTTGTCTTACCACTATAGAGACTTTGAAACAACAAACAGCAAATACAAACAGTAATACAAGAATGCTTTTTTCATAGATCACACACTCAAGTACATAGAGATGGTGAAACTTTAAAAAAAAAACTCTTTATGTTCTATTGTTATCTATTTTCCATCAGGAAATAATATAAAGTGATTCCAAAATGACTTCAACAAGTTTTCAAAATAGAAGCAATTTTTTCAAAGAAATATTTTTGTTTACTCTTTGTTAGACATAAGGGTAACAAGTCAAGGTATAGAAGATCACAAAGCAGTTTTAAATATCTACTGCATCTATTCACTACTAACAGCAGGAAAGCACTTAGAGTTCTAGCAAGAAGAGTAACAAACACCCAGCATAGAGTGTATCCCATGATTAAATAAAGCAAGGAAATGAAGCTGAATGACCACCCTACTTTGCAATGGCATTATAAATATACAATTATTTTCATGCAACTGCTTTGTAATATCAAAGCTTTGTCATATCAAATGTGTGTTTGTATTCTCTTATAGCACATTGTGGTAAGCATAGAGTAAAAACTGAAAAGAATAAGAAAAAGAGAAGTATACTGAATAGAAGTGCACTGAAAAGGGAAAAGGAAAAGGAAATTTATTGGACTTTTGAAAAGAAAAATGGTGTTTAATGTCTAGGAAAAAATGCAAAATTGTTATATTATTCATAGCTCTTTGATAATTGGCTACATACAGATCTCTTCTCTGGTAATCTTATTCGGTTTATATGGTACTTTAGTTTTTCCACTCAAATGTCATCCTTTAGTAACCACCATCCAGATCAGTGGTGGTTTCAAAATTTTTTACTACCGGTTCTGTGGTAGATGACTTCCCAGGCCAAACAGCATAGCCTGGTGGCTCAGCAGACTGATAGCATTGTGATTAACACCAGCTGTCTGCAATTACTGTAAGTTCAAATCTCACCAGGCTCAAGGTTGACTCAGCCTTCCATCCTTTCTAAGGTAGTGTTGTGGCTCTGTCCTCCGAGCCTATCTTATCAGAGGAAGAAGGCTCCGAACATGAAGGAGAGGAGCTGGCCAGGCCTCCCTCTCCAGGCCCCTCCTCTCTGGCAATGCCTCAGGTGTCTGCCAAGGGAGAGGAGATTGACCAGGAGCCAGGTGTCTCCGATGACAGCGATGAGGGTGATAAGTCGTTCCTGGATCCACGCCAACGAAGGTGAGATAAACGTTTGCAGCAGATGAGGAGGCGTGCCAGGGATTAAGCTGAGTCACTGGATCACACCCCACAGGCTATATAAGAGAGTGTGGTGGCCATTTAGACTCTGTGACGGACAAAGCTAACTTCTGGCTAGTCACTTTGTACAATGCCAAATCTGCTGAAGGTTTCATGTTTGAGCTGGACTGTTTTGAAAACTGTGTGTATTTGTTGGTGTTATCTGATGGAGGAACACTCCCTCTTCTTGTAGTAAAGCACTTGGCAGACAGTTATCGTATTGCTGCCAAGTTCCTGATAACGAACCTTGTGTGTGCTGAGTATTTCTTTAACCCCTGGCTGGCTGTTTGTGTGTGTGTGGGGACAGGGACAGAACATCTTGTCCGTCACCTGAAACGTAAACCATCGTTTAACCACGATGGATCAACAGCTGCAGCAGCAGTTACAGCAGCTGCAAGATGCCAACCAGCTCCTGCAGCAGCAAGTCGGCCAGCTAACTGCGCAGCTGGCTTTGGGAAATGCTCCAGCTGTCCCTCCACCTCCTCCTCCTCCCCGTCGGAAATGCCCTATCAATGTGCCAGATAAGTTCTCTGGGCAGCAGGAGATGTTCCTGGCCTTCATGGGACAATGCCAATTGTTTATGGCTATGAGGCCAGAGGACTTTCTGGACGACCGGGCTCGGGTGGCATTCGTAATTAACCTCCTCTCTGGCAATGCCGCCCGATGGGCCACACCCCTATTGCTGCAGAATAGCCCCTTGTTGGCAGATTATCAGGGCTTTTGGCAACATCTGAGGGTGATGTACGAGGACCCCATGAAGACTCAGACAGCAGCCAGGCACCTCAAGGACCTCCGTCAAGGGAAGCACCCCCTGCAGGAATATGTGGCTGAATTTCGGCTTCTGGGCCAGGACTCTGACTGGAACGATGCAGCGTTAAGGGACGCTTTCCAGGATGGCCTCTCCGACGACCTGCAGGACGAGCTGGTGCGGGTGGAGGCGCCTCAGACCCTTGACGCCCTCATAACGCAGTGTTTGCGCATCGACGCCCGCTTCCAATGGCGCAAGACCCGCCGGGCCGTCCAGGAACCCCGAGGAAGAATAAAGGGTGGGTCAAGCCTCATCCTGGGGGCAGAATGTTCCAGAGTACTGGTAATACAGCAGATACTCTTCCTTGGAACATTCACACAATCAGAGCTTTCCTGTTTCTACAGCTAATTCAGCAATCTCAATGTATAAGATATTGGCTTTCTTCAATTTGAATAATAATTGTTGATGTACGTAGTCTTATTTAATCTTTTCTATTTTACAGTCTTTTTTATAATATACTTTTTCAATGATACAGATGCAGTTTACAGACATAGTTATGGTTTTGTAGATTACATAAAACCCTTTAAAATTCAGAATAGCCATACAAGATTGCATACAAGATTGCACCCACATTTTTAAATGATTTACACTTTTTTTTTAAAAATTTGATTTATATGCCACCCTTCTCCGGAGACTCAGGGCGGCTTACAATGTGCTCAGCAATAGCCTTCATCCTTTTGTATATTTATATAAAGTCAGTTTATTGCCCCCACAACTGGGTCCTCAATTTACCTACCTTAGAAAGGATGGAAGGCTGAGTCAACCTTGAGCCTTGGCGAGATTCGAACCTGCAGTAATTGCAGGCAGCTGGTCTTAATAACCAGCTTAATAACAGGGTGCCTTAGACCACTTAACACTTAAGAAGACTGAAAACAATTAGACTTTTAGGTATAATGTACAATACTTAATACTTTAGCATGTCTCATGCTACAGCATAAAGTGATTCAATAATGTAACATTGTTAAATTAATTAGCAGTAATAGTATGAGTCACTGATCTAATGAAATATATTAACTGTCATCCTATGTTAATACTTTTCCTCCCATGAAAACAACAGAAGTGCTTGGATGAAGATAATTTCTTTGCATTTAATACATGAGTATGGAGCATTCTGTCTTTAATTTTGGACAGAAAATTACCTTGCCCCAGCTCTGGTAAATATTTAAAATATTTCTGCAAAAGGAATATATTATTGAAAATAATATAGTAGGAATAAACAATTTCCATCAGTTTAAGGACCATGCAAAGCTTTTTGTAGCATATGAAGAGCCACCTTCCAAGACTGTGGGGTGGGAATTGTTTTCTGAGTACACTTTAGGTGGTTTAAAGAGTGTGGATGACTTAGAACTATCAGTCAGTCATTTATCATGAAAAACAGTTAAATTTAGCTTTGGCATCTAGAGGACACAGAAGGAATCTGAAGACCTGAACTTTCTGTATCTCTGTAATGTAGTGTGATTTGATGGGATTGGACTATAGTAGTTACATTTTTCTATTATGCCTAATAACTGATGATAATATTATCCATTATGGTTGACTCACAATTAAAGATGTATTTATTAAATCTTATCAGTCTGATGATATCAGCGAAGGGAATGAATATGTATGAAAAATGGATCTTGTCTTTGAATAGCAATGCTAATGTAGAACACTGTGGTAAACCTGTCCATTTGGATAATGCAATCTGTGAAGCAGAAGATCCAAATGAGCTTTGAAGCAAAGCATTCTGGGCAGCTCTTTCACCTATGTAGGAACTGAACCTCTTCTTGCAATTTCATTTATTTATTTATTTATTTATTTATTTATTTATTTATTTATTTATTTATTGTTTAAATTTGTATACCGCCCTTCTCCTGAAGGACTCAGGGCGGTGAACAGCCAAAATTAAAATACATACAATATAAAATTTAAAATAATTTAAAACAGAATTAAATCGAATTGGCTTCCCAAAAATTAAAACCCATTACCCTTAAAATAACCCATTAAAATTTTAAGCCAGCCCAGCTTGCTGAAATAGGAAGGTCTTCAAAGCTCGACGGAAGGTCCGGAGGTCCGGGATCAACCTATTAAGGTTGACATATCTTATAGTTTTACACTCACATCAGTGTGAAGATTCCTAGGTGATTCCACCTGCATAGGGTCCATTCTTGCTAATATTTATATTTAGCGTAGGCTAAAATATAAAAATTTTGTAGCATGGCTTTATTATTTATTGACATAAAGAGCCACTGGCTTTTCAAATGTCACTTAACTACAATCTCTATTCCTATTCATTGCCTCTGCTGGCTGAACTCACATGCATTTCCAGGACTACACTTTCCCCACTCTTGAATTAATATGTAAAGAATTGGTCATTTATCTCTGTAATATGCATCCAGAAACTATATTGCTCTAATAAGGCAGGAAGAGTTTGCTGCATATGTGTAAATAAAATTGCGTCTATGAACCCCCTTCAGCATTTAAATGATATACCACGCTGTATTTAGTGTACTCTAGATTTGTGCCATTGGGTACAGTAATATGTGAGGCCCTAATCAAACCTAAATTTGATGATAGTTTAATTACTACTATATTAACAATTTGGCAATCAATTATAGTTCATTGCACAGTCAGCCAGATGTTCAGACTAGATTTGGCATTTTTATACATCTATCGAGTTCTTCCTAAGGACCTGGGATAGACAGATGTTAATGTTTGATAGTTGATTGTGTGATGAACCAAAATAATGAGCCAGCATATTATCCCACCATGCTACACTGGAGAAAATATTACATTAGAATTATAACATATTCCATATGCATTGTGGGTAAAGGAAACAGCCTAGCTGTATTAGAAGTCTGGCCTTCTTGTTCCAGAGATGTCTATTTTACTCAGAAAAATTACTATGTGAATGCTAGCAAAACTATGGTCTCACCATTACCCACTTTTGCGGGGGCTTCAAAATAAGTGAGCCCACTTTAATCAGTTCTAGTAACTCTTACATTATTATTAAGCACAATTAATGCAAATATTAAGGAAATATGATTACATTGTGTTCTTGTTTCTTCCTAAAGAACATGAGTTCTTTACCATTCTCAGTGATAATATCAGGCTCTACATAAAGTTTTTTTTCCTCATGACTCATGATTGCAGTAACACCATTGGAGTAAGGATGAACAGCAAGGCTGAAGCCAGGGCTTCCATAGGATATGTCCCAATGAAAATTGGTTGGGAACAGCAAGTATTGACTTGGTGTGATTGTGCACTGCATGGTGAATAGCTTGAAGAATTTCATGGAAGTGGCTCTCAGTTTCTGGTGTCAGTGGATTGTTTTCTTCTGGGTCCTTGGAGAGATCAAAGAGTAGTGGTGGATCATGGTATGTGACAAACTGTCCATGGCAGAAGCACACATGATAATCGTGGCAGCCATTAGATTCTTTGGGACTGAAATTTGGAGTGAAGTAAAATATCTTCCAAATAGAGTTACCTATAAATATGGAGGAGGAAGACAAAGTTGAAGATATGTTATGAAGATATTCCATAATTGTGATAATCAGATTCAAAACACTAATCTTCCAAAGGTACAGAGTCCTTGTTTTTTTATAATAGACTAGATGTAATATACTTAAAATTCTTAATTCAAAAGACAAATTCCAGATATTTGAAACATAATTCCACAATCCATCAGTACTTTAAACCTTAGCTTTCTCAAGAATGTGATTCAACATTATAATAACACCTTATTAAAAAAGAGTAACTGTTTGACAATAGCACATGTACTAATGTTCCATTATACCTAACACATGATAAAAACAGTTTGGTATAAGTTAGTCTTGTGCCTTAATTTACACCAAAATGGCCCTTTTATCTTGACAATACAATTTTGTATATTTATTTCCATTAAACAACTCTTTTCTAGAAATAATGATCCCCTGGTGTTTAGAACCATGACAACAAGCAAAGGCTAATTTTTCACAAACATCTTTAGCTGCTTTTACTGACTGGCATTATATTAGATTTACTATAATTTATTGTGTATTTCCTACTGTTGTAATAGTTTGACAAATCTTGATTATCATTATGCAAACCATTATCTTCATCTTCGTATATCATCTGCATATATTGTTTGTTATTTCTACTTCATGACTTCCTCAGATTCAGTAGATTGTATTATTAATTGTAAAATTAAACATTAAAGGAATTAAAATGAGCGTTGATACATTCCACTTCTCCATTTGATCACAAAGGAGATAATCTCACTAGTATTTACCCTTGCAGCAGAATTAAAATAATAAATTTTATGCACGAAATTTCTACAGAAAGATATTTTTCTTTATAACTGTATTCTGAGAACTTTATATGAGAACATTTTTTCTTCATCTAATGTTCTATTTATAAAACATCTATTTCATTTTTTATTAGCATATCATGCAAATATATCTACAAAAAATATATAATATTATTGAAGGGTTGACATCTTTTCAAAAAGGCAGACTATGCTGGATAAATTATTGAAGGAAAGCCTGTTTGTAGCTTTCATGTCAAAGTTACTGTTACAATCAACATCAATAAAACAATAACTTACACAATCCACAGGGTCCTTTCTGCTCTAATATAAATACAATACATGGTGAAGGTATTTCTTTTCAAAATATTTCTTTTATATGTCTAACAAAGTAGAGACAAGCCTTCCTTTCAATTTTTATATAACTCCACATTCATTTTAAAAATTACGGCACAGCTAAATCCTTTGAATGGACAACTGAAATTTGGAAAATTTATTCCATTTAAAAAGATATTCATCTGAACTAGAAAACTTCCAAGGTCACCTCCAATTCTGTTATTCTATTCAATGCTATAGCTGTGTTCACAAAATATGATTTTGTAAAACTCCATAAATTGGGAATTAATACCATTATAGTTCCTATGTGTTATCCCAAATACTTTCCTAAAGTAGGCATTATCTTTCTACTGTTTCCGTCAAGAATTTAGTGGTTTACTAGATTCTCCTTTCTATTCTCTATTGTTTAATACACTTGAATGAATATTTAGTAACGAAAGCACGCTATTGATTAAGTTACAAATTAAGCAACCTTAAAGTATAATATACTTTCAAAATACGATTTCTGATGTCTTTAAATTCTTTTCTGACTTTAGACAATGTCATACAATTTTCCTCCTACAGAAGTACAGGCTGTAGTCTTTCCTCATATACTGTACATGTTTCAAATGAATAACTTCTCTTTTTATTTGGGCGAACATACATTTATCTTTCTTTTATACATATATCTTTCTTTTATAATTCATCTAAACAGTGTGACTCTGGGGAATATACAGCACAAAAAATAATCAACAACAACAAAAATTCCACACTCCACAAAACCATATAATATTAAAACATATACAATATAAAAGCATTAAATACAAAAATGACTGGAATCTCATTACAGACTTTTTGAGTAAAACAAAAAAAAATGATCTTATGATTTATCTCATTGATGATAATTGTACTCATAACTGCTGTAAAAAAGATTGAAAATGACTTGTTTGAAATTGACTTTAAAAAGACCAGAACTATTGACAAAACTGAACACTTTAACAACAGAATAATCAGAGAAGCCATCGAGATAGAAAAACGCCCACACAGCATGGACAAATGAGATGATACCTCCCGCCTACCAGCCATTTGGAAACCCGCCCTTATTGACAAACGAGTCCCTAACACGAGGAATGACACCAGACCCACACTCACGAGGGCTACACAGGATGTCACCACCACACATCCATGTGGAAAGCAGACTCAAACCCACACTGAGGATGAGGCACAACCATGGACCAGAAGCCAGACCACAGCTGCATCATTAGCCACTTTAAACCCCTCCAATCCATACATGAAGCAGACTGACACCCACCATGAAGATATGGCACAACCACGAATGTGAAGCCAAACAACAGCAATGCAGCTCACCAGCTTAAATCCCCCTGCAACTCAGACTAACCCGAGCACAACCAAGCCCCCACCCAAACAGAACACACCCCCATCCAATCAGAGCACAGCCAACCCCCCATCTAATCAGAGCACAGCCAAGCCCCCAACCAATCAAAACACACCTCCATCCAATCAGAACACAGCCAAGCTCCCACCCAATCAGTTCACACCCCCACTAGCAGTTAAAAAGAAGAAACAGCTGCGATCTCACATTGCTCCTAGAAGCACGAAGCCGAAAACACCAGCCTGAAGATGATGAATGAGACTTTGTCAAAATGTTACCAAGACACTTCCAATTTTACTCGGGAAAAAACCCGAATAACCAAAGACCTACATATGTGTGTGTGTGTGTGTGTGTGTTCTTTTCTTTTCATAGGCCTTTATGTGTGTTTCTCTCTTTAGCCAGGTTCTTCCTACGTAAACCAAGATTTTTATGCAGCCCTAGTTCAGTGAAATCACAATCCACTAGTTTCTAGGCTTTTTTTTCTTCAGCCAGCCAGCAAGCACTCTGCTGCCTGTTGGGAGACTAAGGAGACTAAGATAGATCTATTTCGGACATTAGTCCTCAGCAGGTAGCCACACCCTCATCCCATGTATCCTCCCTGTAAAGGTACAGTATTTGTTTTTTCTTTTCTTTTCATAGGCCTTTATGTGTGTTTCTCTCTTTAGCCAGGTTCTTCCTACGTAAACCAAGATTTTGCATGTGCAGAAGCGCCAGAAACTGGAAGAGCAGTTCCCCAGTGCACACATGCCAGTTGAGCCGCACACATGTTTGTGTTGGAATCTGGAAGAGCAACGGGTGATGGCTGGCTTCCCCGGAAAGATGGCTCTGTGTGCCACTTCCAGCACACATGCCATAGGTTCACCATTACCACCCTATAAGATGATGAAATTTAAATTTTAAATAAGGGAACTGGAACACATTTTCCATTTGGAAGTTGTGGGCAAATAGATATTATTGGGAGAAGACAGCCTTATAAGTAGCCTGATCCTATGTTAAATAGGACTTTAAAAGTCATAACCAGCCCTTTGAATGCATGAAAGTCCATGCAGCTCATGAAATAACAGTGTTATATGGCCATTTTGAGGTGTGTCTATAACTACCTGCACCACAGAATTCTGGACAAACTGAAGTTTCTGGATGGTGTCAAGAGCAGTGCCATGGAATGATCTAAAATTAAGAGCTGTTGAAAACATTTTACTAAAACAAAAGCAACAGCAGCAACAACAACAATAGTAGTATTATTTATCCTGCATGTTTCACCTTAAATCTCTTAATTCAGATATAATTCAACCAAGGGTGTTTTATCTTTTTCAAAAAAAAAAATCATTATATTTTTTTTCTCAGTTTTCTTTCTTCCTTATCTTCCTCTTCAATTAATTTTCATAGCAATATCAGAAACTCAAATGAACATGTAAAGTTAAAATCATTCTCCCTACATCTACCATTTGATTTGATTGCAGTAAAAATCCCCACTTCATGAGGAGCTGTAATTAATTTCTGACTTAAAGCCAGGCTCCCCAGGTCTTCCACAGTTTTTTTCTCCAGTAATTGAAGCTCAGGGTGGTAGGGTAGCTTTTCAGAACTTGGCTGATCCAGCAGAGAAGAAAAGGGCTACTTCTTGTTTTATAGGAATATTATCTTCCCCAAAGTGGCATAAACATATAATTGGTACCCCACTTACCAGTTCTCTTCCTTAACAGTCCAAACAGTACTGTTTCCACATCTCTCAGAAAACCAATTTTGTAATAGAAGATCTCCATTTTACTAGAAGTCTTGATAGCTCTACTCTTGATACCATTCAACCTCCCATCGTAAAGGATATTTCCCTGCCACTTTAATGAAACACATTCTATTATAAATGATCCAAGATTTGGAAAGCTATTCAGTAAATGGTAAACAATTGGTTTTAGAATTTTTTTTTTTAGTTGCATGCCTTAACATAAAATAATTTGTGAAGTCTTGTAGCTGATCTTGCTACAGATTAGAGAGCAACACATAACTTCTGAATGTAGTTTATATCACTGAAGATGCAGAAGATCTCTGGAACTAAAACTCCTAGTTAGACAATGAAGTGCATTTTACAATTCTAAGGTGCATTAACTTTAACTAGAGTTATCAGTATTCAGAGGTCTGTGTGCTGTTAGACCAAAAAGGCTATTATCAACATTCTGTATTGTTTTACCATTCTGAAGGAGTTCCCCAGGCTATTAAGCACAACGATTAGCCATATAAAAAGCTAAGTGCTCTCTATATCAAAGATTTGTTAGAAAGGTAGCAGGGTCAGATAATGACCTTGATGCTGTGGTGAAGGGAAACCTGGGAGCCACTGAATGTTTAACTTTCTTGGCATCTATATAATTGATCATGCTAGCTGGCAGTATCAGGAATATACTATTCAACATCTCAAGGGCAACATATCAAGTTTGGCTAATATCTTTATTTATAACTGAACTGTACAATTTAATCTATAAAATCAGACACCACCAGCCGTCGG